CTCAGGTGAACTCCTGTTCCAAAATTCTGAGCACTGAATACATAGAGTACATTCCTTATATAGCGCTGTAGCTCCTCCCATAATTAGCTATGCCCACACATACCCTTAACCTAATCAATGAACAGAGTCTAAACTCATCCATCTGGTCTAACCACGTGGCTCATCTGAAACAAAGGAGAGGGACGCGTAATTCCAGTTCTTGTGGCAATCTTGGCCTGCTAAACTTTTATTTTACTGGAATTCCATCACATTCTCCCCTTTGATGCTTCTGATTTAAAATAATTCCAGATGCATCACCAATCATAGTTTGCCAACACCTCTAAGGTAGCCATGAACCAGAACAGACCTCGTAAGCATCCCCCATATTCTTTTAGCATTCTCCATCCTGAATATGCTCTCTCTGGGCTAAAGGTTCATATTTACAGACAGCCATTACATGGGCAGCTGTCTTCCTCTCAGTGCTGCCTACAACACTTCGTATGGACCTGACCACTAATGGAATTAAGCAGGGCAGAGAGAAACACATGAATATAATAAATACTACTCCTCCTACTAATGCCTTAATCCCTCCAAGCTGCTCATACCAACTTCCAAACCAACTACTTGGGTTATACCCACTCCAGACCTGAGTAGGTACATGCGCAAGTTTAACCATGTGACTGGCAAGTTCAGCCACTGCCTGCCCTTCATCATCTTTGTGCAGACAACAGTTACTTAGATTAAACTTCCCGCATACACCTCTCTCTACTGCTAATAAATAGTCCAGAGCTAATCTATTTTGATAGATGGCTGATCTCATTCGGGTATTATGTTTAGCTAGGAAATTGAGCGCCTGTGCTGTCTCATTGGTGATAATCTCAACCACCACCTGTAGTCTTATAATACGATTAAGCATATATATATTGGGGTTCTATATCCATAAGTGCCATCTTCTGCCCAAGTAGCCGGTCCATAATAATTAATAATACTTTGGGGAGGCCACTCATCATCTTCCCAGCTACCTATATTCATTCAAAGATGCTCGCTTCTTTTTATGATTCACATCATAAACCTTAACTCCAAGGTCTCTCCTGTTTCAATTGGCAACAAGAAGAAGGATGGTTTGAGCATACCTACTACACATGCCCCTTCCCAGTCTTGTGGTAACTCCGAATATGCCTTCTTACCACAAATCCAGTACAATTTTGCGGGGCTCTCCAATTGGATGTAGGAGATAAATCAAACCATACCTCTTTCAAATTAGTGTAATTGGCAAATGGATTAGTAGGTTCCGAGACATTTGAAGCTGACCACCAAGTAATATTTTTAGTATTAACATTATAGGCTTTTTGTCCCAAGCAAGTTAGCTCACCTACAGACGTGTTATACATTGTCCCTTTCCTGGCTATACAAACATGACCTATAATGGAGGTTTTTAACCGCCATTCCGATTTACCTCTAGTACTCACTTGATGACTGAGGAAGTATCTGTTGTTCATCTGTCTCAGAACCAGGGTACCATGCCTCCTTTGCTTCCCATGGCCACTGGTCTCCCATGTTATTACCTCCACATACATAGCAATTTGTTACATTAAGACTACCCACAATACTCACAGCCAAATCAATAAATAGGTTCTTAACATTATGGGGAATTGTATCCTCAAGACTCATCTCCTCAAAAGGAATGAAAAACCTGATGAGTTTGAGTTGCCACTGTCTCAGTTTCAAGAGCTACATATATTATTGTTCCTGGATTTACTCCTGTGCCATGTATTTGGAACCCAAAAATATTTCCAAATTTGTCACTAAAATGCTGGGGATTAGAGATGGTCATTTGGACCGGATTACATTCCATAGATTTACAATATGGTGTGGTAGGCAACCTTTGGATAACCATATCTTGATCCACTGTTTTTCCCCAGGTTGCCCACCCTACACAAGACCAATAGGGACAAAAATTATAATCTCTATTTGGGCAATCAGGATCAGTAGATCTTTTACTGGGACATAAGTATTTATCATTAAACCTATAAGTTCGTTCCCATTTAAGATTACCACATACAGTCCAAGGTTTTCTACTGCCAGAAATCGCCTTACATACATCAAATAGCAGAACACCCGTAGAATGTACGGTATTTATCACAGTCCTATTTATCAAAGTTCCCTGGGAATTACTATTCCTAATTACCAACCAAAGTGTACGGGGTTGGAATTGGGGATCGAAACATTTAGACTCTCCTGATATTGGCTTGCACACACTATAATCAATATCCAAAAATCTACATTTAGATACAGATCCCTTACATTCATACTGTGAGTGCCAGATGAGAGTTTGGGATATTTGGTTACCTGTTTTAGTAGTCTTAATGCAACTATCGCAATTTGGTATGTCTGTACTCCTACCTTCCTGAAAAATCATAAAAATAGACACATAATAAAACACATTATTCCTGAAATCCTCATTTTTCTTCGACCGTGCAATGGCCCCTCAGCTTCCCGATTGTGAGGGCTGCAAGGATGTTGTTATTCTGATCCTCACTTTCCTTCACAGAGATCCCTTCGAGACACACTGGCTATGACACATAGGCAGGTGGTCAGGCTTTATTATGGCCGTCAAAACACCTACTTAGCTGATCTCTATAGTTACTCTAGATGTCCCAATATCTCCTCGTCACTCCGACTGAGTTGCACGCTTCAACCGGATCTTGCAAGGATTTTCAGGATCTGGGATAGCTTGCCAAGAGTCTGATGCTGGTTTAACCCTAGAATGATGAATCCACGGAGTCACCTCTGCCACCTTTACAGCTGTTGGGGTAGATAAGAGAACATAAGGAACCCTCCACTTTGGACCTAATGGAACAATATTCCATTCTTTTATCCACACTTGATCTCCTGGTTGATAGGAATGAACAGGTGGATATATGTTCACAGGTAACCTATCTTGCACCCATTTCTGCACCTCCTCCATAGTTTTACCCAACTCTACAACCTGCTGCCGAGTAATTCCTTCACCCAACTGATTTAAGTCCCCCCTTAGATTACTTAGTATGGGTGGACGCCCATACATAATTTCAAAGGGAGACAAACCCGTCCTTCTGGTAGGCGTACTACGTATTCGCAACAGAGCTATTGGCAAAAGGACATTCAACTTGAGCTGAGTTTCCTGACACATTTTAGCCAACTGGGTTTTTATTGTTCTGTTCATCCTTTCCACCTTTCCAGAACTCTGAGGTCTATAGGCTGTATGGAGTTTCCACTTGATACCAAGCACATGAGTTAGTTGTTGCAAACACTGATAAATAAAGGCTGGGCCATTATCTGATCCTATAGAACACATATCTGGGTATAACGTCTCGCAACAGAAATCGTACAACTTCTCCTGCCTTTTCTGTACGAGTTGGACAAGCTTCTACCCAGCCTGAGTAGGTGCACACAGCTACCAACAAATAACAATATCCCCCAGATTTAGGCATCACAGTGTAATCTATTTGCAAATCTGACATTGGGAGTCATCCCATATACTGAACTCCAGGGAGTTTGACAGGGCATTGTCTTGCATTATTTTGGGCACACAAAACACATCTCCGAACTATGGCTTGAGTCAGACTAGATAACCTTGGTATATAGAAATGTCTTCCATACTATCTCTTCCAGTATGTGTACCATTATGAAAGTTTTGAACAATCTCTATAGCCAGAGATGTCGGAATAACTATTCTTCCATCTTCTAACTGGTGCCAGTTATTCTCCAGATATTTCCCAGCTTCAGTCTTCAACCACTCCATCTCTTGGGTTGTATATATTGGAGTCCATTGAGACAGAGGTGCCGGTACAAGGGCCGCGACATATCCCACATATTCCTCTTGCCCAGATTCAGCGACATGTTTTGCTGCGTTGTCGGCCATGCGATTTCCTTTGATGACATCACTGTCACCACTCAGATGTGCTCTACAGTGTATAATACCGACTTCCTTCGGTTCCCATACCGACTCTAACAGTTGGAGTATTTCAGCCGCATACTTGATCTCTTTTCCTTCTGAATTCGGCAATCCCCTTTCTTTATACAATGCTCCATGTGCATGGGTGGTTAGAAAAGCATACTTCGAATCAGTGTAGATATTCACTCTCAGCCCTTCAGCTAATTGCAAAGCCCTGGTTAATGCAATCAGTTCCGCCTTCTGTGCGGATGTCCCTTTTGACAGGCCGTGCTTCTATCACCTTATCTATAGTCATTACCGCATATCCTGCATAACGTACACCTTCCTTCACATAACTACTATCATAAATATAATACTGTATGTCTGGATTCTGGATGGGAAAATCATGAAGATCAGGCCTGCTTGAAAAAACTTCATCCATTATCTCCAAACAATCATGTTGACTTTCAGTAGTCTGAGGAAAAAGGGTAGCTGGATTCAAATTGTTGACAGTTTCGAGGTGTACTCTTGGATTTTCACACAACATAGCCTGATATTTGGTCATTCGACTGTTGCTAAACCAATGATTTCCCTTATAATCCAAGAGGGTCTGTACTGCATGAGGTACTCGCACGTGGAGTTCCTGTCCCAGTGTAAGCTTGTCAGCTTCTGCTACCAACAGGATAGCGGTGGCCACTGCTCGCAGACAAGGTGGAAGACCACTGGATCCAACTGTTTGGACATGTAAGCTTGTCATGGCATGTCTTTGCCATGATCCCAAATATTGAGTTAATTCTCCCACAGCCATTCTTCTTTGCTCATGTACGTACAGATAGAAAGGACGTGTATGATCAGGTAGACCTAGGTGCTTTCTTGATATCCTCAAATGCCTTCTGCTGTTCAGTAGTCCATAGGAAGGGGTTATGTTATGTGCCTTTTATAGCTCCATATAAGGGTTTCACCAATATCGCGTAATTAGGAATCCGAATCCTGCTGCTCCTAAGAATAGAAGACAGGTGCGAGAATTCTTAGGTATCGGTATCCAACACACTGCTTCTTTTCTTTTAGGTCCCATCATTCTTTGACCTTCGGATATATGGAATCCTAAATATTTAACACTTGGCTGGCACAATTGTGCTTTCTTCCTCGATACCTTGTATCCTGCTCTCCATAGAATATGAAGCAAATCATAAGTGGCTTGTTGGCATATCTCTTTAGTAACAGCTGCTATCAATAAATCATCCACATATTGAAGTAGTACACATTCTCCTGGGATGGACTTGAAATCTTGCAAATCCTGGCTTAATGCGGATCCAAATAGGGTAGGTGAATTCTTGAACCCTTGAGGTAGTCTAGTCCAGGTCATCTGACGCTTTGAGCCTGTAACAGCATCTTCCCATTGGAAAGCAAAGATATGTTGACTCTCAGCAGCAATTCGAAGACAAAATAAAACATCCTTAAGATCTAACACTGTGAAGTAGGTTGCCCCACCTGGTATCAAGGCAAGCAGATTGTAAGGATTGGGTACAACTGGGTGTATATTAACTACCACATCGTTAACTGCTCTCAAATCCTGTACAGGACGATATTCGTCCGATCCTGGTTTTTGAACAGGTAATAATGGAGTGTTCCAGGAGGAAGTACAGAATTTTAGGATGCCATACCTTACGAACTTATCCAAGTAGGTTTGTATGTTTTCCTTAGCCTTTTGGGGTATGTGATATTGACGTAGGCTCACAGGATAGGCCCCAAGCTTTAGTTCAATATGTACGGGTGGGATATTACGAGCAAGTCCTGGTGAATTATTCTCTGCCCATACTCCTGGAATGTCAAATAAGGATTCATCACTCTTAGGGTTAACACTTGTCACTATGGAATAGAAGCGCCATTCTTCTTCCCTTGGCACCGATATCGCCATTATGCCCGATGATCCCTTAAACTTCAGAGATGTTGATCCATTAGGTAAAAAGGTTATCTGGGCTTGAAGCTTTGATAATAAATCTCGTCCTAGAAGTTAGATTGGACACTCAGGCATATATAGAAATTGGTGCTTCACCAAATGGCCTCCCAGAATGCAAGTGCGACTCTTAAGAACCGGTCTAGCAGTGCTCTTCCCAGTAGCTCCTATCACAGTTATAGTCTTCCCCGAAAGCGGAGCCACCATCTTAGTCACCACAGAATGTTCAGCACTTGTGTCGATCATGAAAGGACTTCTTTCCCCCTATTGCTACATCGACCATAGGCTCCGCTTGACCAAGGGGGATGGAGCCTGGTCGGTATCAATAGTCTTCCATGATAGTGTCAGCCATACCCACAAAATCTCTATCCTCTCTTTCTCTAGGTCTCTGCGTGGGTGGATAGTATCTGTCTCCTTGAACACTTCCTCTACTATTCCCACCATTCCCTCTAAAACTTCCTCTTCCTCTATAACTACCACTATAACCTCCTAGTACCCTTTGTAACGGATCACCTGGCACCCCGACCAGTATGCTCCTAGCGCTTCCTGAGGACTCCAAGCACTGCAGCAGACACCACAACCACCGAACCGGAGAAGCATATGAATGCTCTCAAGATGTTGTATACAGCCGAATAGGAAAAACCATGCGGATGGGTTTACACGCCTAGCAGTCAAACTGGAACAGCATACAATAAATCCTCCCACAATAATGAGACGACACTTCACTTTGAGGGTTAAGCAGGAACTGACTGGACTGGCACATACAGCCTCTTTTATTCCCAATCCACAAACTTAGTACTGCCCACAGGGTTTTACAGAACAACCAATAACACGTACAATACACTCAGACACTCCCACACAAAATCCTCCCCTCTGCCTGTGATACAATTACCTTACACAATGGGTAATCTAATTATCACAGAAAGAGAAATACAGTTTCATAAAATACATCACAGGGACCCCAAAACATGCAATAACCCCATAAGTATATCCTTGGAACCGGGAGATCTGGGTGAACCACATATCCAAAATTTACCCAGATCCGTTCAGTACTTTGGAAGATACAGTTTAATGCAGATTCTGCAGAACATATACAGGCTAAATGAAAAACAATCACTGTATAATGTGTCCCCTGCTGTATAGTCCAAAACCACTGCACGCTGTCTCTCTGCACCAAATACTGGCGAGATGGCACCGTGTTGAAAAGTCCAAACAGTGTCTGTGAGTTAAAATGGCCGCCATCCATTGTTCTCACCATGTGCTTCTGATACAGGAAATGGTGGCCACCCAGTAACTCCACAGTATGTCCCCAGATGGTTCTTAAAGGGCCAGCAGCAGCACAACACAAATCCATTATGCCCAAATCATGTCTTTAAAGGGAAATACATCCCAGGGGCCATAGTCACATGGCAGGAGGCTGGCAATCAGTCTTCTCCAATGCCCAGTGGCGAGGTCGGTTTCGCCACACCCTTCTCTCTCCTTGTCTATCACCTTCATACTGCTCTCTCTCTGTGGACACTCACTCTTCCAATGTCCCTCCTTTCTACAATACACACATTGATTCCTACTTAAAGGTCCCTTACTCAGCCTATTCACTTCCCTTCCCTGTCTTTCTACACTTGTGATAGCTACCGCTAGCATATCTGCCTTCTTCCTCATTTTACGTTCCTCCTCACACTTTGTCTCAGTTTCCCTATTCATATACACCTTATTTGCAGCCTCCATTAGCTGTGATATGGATATCCCTGCAAATCCCTCTAATTTCTGTAATTTCCTTTTAATATCACATTGGGCCTGGCTGACAAATGCTGAATTAATCATCCTAGAATTCTCAGGAGCCTCTGGATTAAAAAGGAATATACAACCTATATGACTCCAATAATCTCATAAAAAGGTACTAGGTGACTCATCAACCTTTTGCAACACCTAAGCCGTCTTTGACATATTAATTGCCTTCTTCCCTCCTTCCTTCATGCCAGCAATTATGGCTTCCCGATAAGCTCTTAGTTGGGGCATGTCAGTAATAATTGCTGACAATCAGCCCAGGTGGGATTGTGGGTTTGTATAATAGAGGTAACCAAATCTGTCATGACTTGAGGCTTATCAGTGTATGAAGAATTATGCGTCTTCCAATTAATAAGTCAGTCGTAGTGAAAGGAACATAAACAAATACAGGGTCTGCATGTTGCAATTGACCATTATTGTCAACATGTGTTGGGCCCGGTGTAAGTCGGAGAGGCATTTGGTAATGTTGGGGGTGGAGGGTACCAGTCATCTGTCGGGTTAATACAGGGCTTCGGCAAGGCTGCTCAGTAATAGGTTCCAGTCTGAGAGTAGTAAGATAGGTGGAAGGGGGTGAGCTAATTTTACTAGTCAGCATTTGGTGGATGAAAAACATTTTTTTTTTTTTAAAGTGTTAAACAAAAAACCTACCAGTAGGTGTCACCAGAGGGTAATTGTATCAAAATAAGCTTTATGGGTCTAATAATAAAACTTAACTTTTAATATATTTATACATAAAATAAAACCTTATAGCAATAAATATATTAAAACAGGATAAACAATCCTACTTCTGTCTGTTATATGCCAGTATAGCGTTAAAGATGATTATGCAATGTAATATCAATGTAACTCCCGAAGATGGCCAGTAAGTGGCCCTAGAGTGCCTCCCTAAAATCTAATGAAGCAGATAGACTTTAATTATGTGCTTATTTTATTATTACTTATTTTAATCACTGTTCACCCTGATATATAGGCTTGAGTAAAGCTTTAGTTCTATGGTAAAACAAACATCTCGGTTTGTATTTTAGTAAAGGGGATATTTTGATCAAAGCTGGGAGGGGCCCATCCAGTAACTAAAAAAAAAAAAAAAAAGAGGATAAAAGTGTACTCTAGCATCTTATACAATTAATTTCTTCCAGTTGTATCTTAGACTATCACTGAAGACACACAGCATTCAATAGGTTTAGTGCTATTTCAATGATTATGGTACAATATCATTGCTGAGAATTATCTGATCCAATAGACTCAGTTACTGTTATTAAGAATTCTCCTCACAATTTAACTGTTAATAAAATTCAATGCTAAAATACACTCCTACCAAAAAGGAAGTCAATTCAAATTACAAAGAACCAGTTTGTACAGAAATACAAGAGTTTGAAAGAAAAGAACAGATAGGTATGTGGGTAGGCGTGGACAATAGAGCAAGGGGAGTGCAAATACCAGCTATACCAGTTTTAGCTTGGGAGGAAGAGTGGGGGAAGAGCTACTCTGGCTCTGGAGGATGAGTAAGGGGGTTGGCAATCAGATGCAAGGGGGGGAGGTGTCCAAAGCAGTTGTAATTAAGGCCTTAGTGGACAAACAGGTCCTGGCTACCATGGACTCCATTGTTCCTCTTAGCACAGCATGTTCCATTTAGCAGTGTTTCAACAATCTGTATACAGAAACTACTCGTATAGCCCCAGCATATTATTTATAACAATGTAAACCTGCTGCTGTATTAAATCTGGATCAAGGATCCACAGGAACACTGGTTACCATAACAGGCCGTCTTCTGCTACACAGAGTATTTTAATCTTTTGGGGGACAGTGTTACAACATATTCCTTAGAAAAAAAGTTTTATGTTTTTTTTTTTTGACACATACAAGACAAAGGACTGTTTGTGAATCAGAAGCACCCATAATTTCAACAGAGCGACTGATTCAAAGCAGTACAAATATACAAACAGTTTCAACAGTCACACCAGTTACCTTAGCAACAGCACCACGTGGCAAAGTTACTAGGCCAAACACACACCAAAAACACGAGGAGAATTCTCATACACACACGAAAATTCACCAAACACTAGATACTCATCACTGTAACTATAAATCAAACCCTGCAACCATCCATGCAGTAAATCAACTCTCAATTACCAGACTATAACACACTCCAGCAACATCGTCTTTACAATCAGTAGTTATAGTACGGCTAGCAAGTGGTTATGGTACAGTTTTAGAATCACAGGTCGATTAGTAACAGTTATGGTGTTACACATATAACATCAAACAACAGATTGTTAGTAGTTATATACAATACACAATGTCTGTAATTATAATACATGTTAGTGGTTATGGTACCATGCACTATTATACAGTTATACACACAATTTACACTCCCGCTAGACGGCAGAGCTCAAGCTTTCTAGCAGGACATACAATTTAACCAATTCACCAACTACAATATATTTAACAACATTTACAATAATCCCAACTATTCTAACTGGCCAGCACCTTGAGAGCTTTCAATCTATTTGTACACCAGAGATTCGATAAGTTCTTCACTGCCCAGACACCACGTATAGCGAACTTATATAGCACTGTAGCTCCTCCCATAATTAGCTATGCCCACACATACCCTTAACCTAATCAATGAACAGAGTCTAAACTCATCCATCTGGTCTAACCACGTGGCTCATCTGAAACAAAGGAGAGGGACGCGTAATTCCAGTTCCTGCACATGCTCAGTACATTGATGACAGTATCTTAGCTACGTGTAACTAACTAACTGATACTACAAACACATGTACCTACATATGCCTTGTGGCAATCTTGGCCTGCTAAACTTTTATTTTACTGGAATTCCATCACAATATGGCTGAAGACTAAGGAACCACCTAATTACTCTGGCAGTTGTCTCCTTGTTTTTTCTCATCCATGTCAAGGGCTCATGATCTGTGACAAGTTTGAACCTTCTCCCCAATAGATAATACTTAAGTGTTTCTAGTGCCCATTTTATGGCCAAACATTCTTTCTCAACCACCGAGTATCTCTGTTCATGGGGATTCAGCTTTTTGCTCAGGTACATAATGGGATGTTCTTCACCTCTGTGTACTTGAGAAAGAACGGCTCCTAGGCCTACATCAGACGCATCTGTCTGTACCAAAAATTATTTCGTAAAATCTGGGGCAACCAAAATTGGGTCAGCACACAAAACCTCCTTCAGGGTACTAAATGCCTTCTCTGCCTCGGGAGTCCACTTTATCATAACAGGGCCTTTTGCCTTAGTTAGCTCTGTCAACGGATTTGCGATCGTAGCAAAGTTAGGTATGAATCTACAGTAGTAGCCCACTAAGCCTAAAAATGCCCTGACTTGTTTCTTTGTCACAGGACGTGGCCAATCCCAAATAGCATCTACCTTACTTTTCTGTGGTTTCAGGAGACCCCTCCCAATAGTGTAGCCCAAATACTTAGCCTCTTCCAAACCTATCGTACATTTGGATGGATTGGCAGTTAGACCTGCATCTCGTATAGACTTTTACTGCCTGAACTCAGGGAAGGTGTGTTTCCCAATCTGTGCTGTGTATAACCACATCGTCAAGGTAGGCAGCCGCATATTCACTATGGGGTCTAAGGATTCTATCCATCATTCTTTGGAAGGTTTCTGTAATTTCCATGCAACCTTAAAGGTAAGACTTTATAGTGATATAAACCTTCTGGTGTGGAAAAAGCAGTTTTTTCTTTGGCCCGCTCTGTTAAGGGAACTTGCCAATAACCTTTCGTTAGATCTAATGTAGTCAGATATCTGGATCGTCCTAATCTCTCTATTAGGTCATCAACCCTAGGCATGGGATAAGCATCAAATTTTGATTTCTCATTTAATTTTCTGAAGTCATTACAGAATCTGATTTCTCCATTTGGCTTGGGTACCAACACTATAGGATTACTCCATTCACTATGGGATTCCTCGATAACCCCTAGCTCAAGCATCTTTCGGACCTCTGCTTTAATGGCTTCTTTTCTGGCCTCTGGGATTCGGTAGGGTTTTAAGTTAACCCTTTTTCCAGGTTCCGTAATTATGTCATGTTTAATAACATGAGTCTTTCCTGGTACTGGAGCAAACACATCCCGATTTCTAGCAACAAACTCTCAGACCTCATTTTTCTGATGAGGTGCTAGAGTGTCAGCAATGTTAACCTCTGGTACTTTGGTCAGAGGAACTTTGTCTGCCATGGCCATCAAGACCTCTCTGTCTGTCCAGGGTTTAAGTAAATTTATATGGTATATTTGTTCGGGCTTTCTTCTACCAGGTTGTCTCACCTTACAATTCACCTCATTGACTCGTTGAATGATCTCATATGGGCCATGTCAGTTTGCAAGGAATTTATTTTCTACTGTGGGGATTAGTACCATAACCCTGTCTCCGGGTTGAAAGACCCTAAGTCTAGCATTCCTGTTATAACTAGCTTTCTGGGCTTCCTGTGCTCTCTCCATATTTTCCCTGACAATTGGCATTACGGCCTCAATGCGATCCTGCATTTGTGCCACATGTTCAATAACACTCCTATGAGGCGTGTGTTCCTGTTCCCATGTTTCCTTCGCAACATCAAGGAGACCTCTAGGATGTCTGCCGTATAACAATTCAAAAGGTGAGAACCCTGTAGAAGCTTGGGGGACTTCTCTGATAGCAAACATTAGATATGGGAGCAACCAATCCCAATTCTTACCATCCTTATCAATTACCTTACGGAGCATTGCTTTTAAGGTTTTATTAAATCTTTCCACTAACCCATCAGTTTGTGGGTGATACACTGAAGTCTTCAATTGTCTAATCTTCAATAAGTTACATAGCTCTTTCATCACTCGTGACATAAAAGGAGTACCTTGGTCTGTAAGTACTTCTCTAGGTATTCCAACCCGGCTGAATATAAACATTAACTCTCTGGCAATGATTTTAGCTGAGGTATTCCTTAAAGGTATAGCTTCGGGATAGCGGGTAGCATAATCTAGTACTACCAATGTATATTGGTGCCCCCTAGCGGATTTAAGTAAAGGACCAACCAGGTCCATAGCAATTCTTTCAAATGGGACTTCTATAATGGGAAGAGGAACGAGGGGATTATGGAAAGCTTGGAATGGAGCCTATCTTTGACATTCTGGGCATGACTTGCAAAATCGCTCTATAGCAGAGTAGATTCCTGGCCAGTAAAATCTTCTTAGTACTCTCTCCCTGTTTTTTTCCAATCCCAAGATGGCCCCCTAATACATGGCTGTGAGCTAGTTTTAAGACTAGGTTCCTGTGGGATTGAGGTACCAGTAATTGCTCAACCTCTTCAACTCGGTAAAGTAAATTATTTCTTTCTGCAAAATAGGGAAGGGACAATTGGGTTTCCGGATTAACGGGAGTATCTTCCACTACCTGAACATTGTTACGGGCAGCTACCAAGGTTTGATCCTCCCATTGGGCAGCCCGGAAATTTCCTGAACTAATACCTAGATGATGGAACTCCACCTCTTCCCTTAGATTTTCTACTTGGGAGGAATCACTTTCATTGTGTTCCCCTTCCTCACCCAAACATACTACAGTGGGTTCATTTTCACTATACTGCCCCAAATCAATCGTAGAAAAAGGGAAAACATTCTCTAAACCCATTGTTCCTGCCTCTACCTCTGTACACTTATCCTGTTTTATTGCAGTATCTTCCCACATTTTACGAAAGAGTGGAAAATCACGCCCCAATACAGCATCATAAGGCAATGAGGGTACCACCCCAACTCTATGTTTTATCACCCCTACCGCGGTAGCAAATTCCACCTCGGCTGTGGGGTACGTGTGGGTGTCACCATGTATGCATATTATATCCAACATGTGAATTTTATCTACTTGCTCACTCTGAAGTAAAGATCTCTTTACCAATGAAACCTAACTCCCAGAATCTAAGAATACTTGCACACTCCTCCCCTCCATATTTACAGATTTGACATGGTTAATAACACCAGTACTTGTTAAAGCAGACATTTGTGTGTATACCAACAATGCACCATGTTTCTCCCCCCTCCCCAAATTACATTCCATAGGTTCATCAGTCTGTGAAAAGTTACGTGCAATATGTCCAATCTCCTGACACCTGTAACACTTTATCTGTCTCTCAGTCTGGCCTTGTGGCCGGGTTGGGAACTTGGGCACCCAATTTTCCATTTAGTCAGTCTGTCTATGGGTCTGTACAGAATCTTTTTTTTCCCCATCTGTTTCTTTAAATCCACCCGAATTCCTTGCAGGTTTCCTGTTACTTTGCAATTTGGCGTTGAGGTAAGGCTCTTTACTCTGAGTTTCGTTAGCAAACTGGTATCTCTCTGTCAAGTTCTTCATTTCTTCTCGGTCCTTTGGATCCGCTTGACTGACCCATTTCCGTAGCACTATCGGCAGACTCCTTAGAAAGCGATCCATAACCACCTTTTCAATGATTACTGCAGCAGAGTTGATTTCTGGTTGTAGCCACTTCTGGGCAAGTCTCAAGAGGTCATACATTTGCGACCTAGTAGATTTCTCTGTATCATAAACCCATGCATTATATCTTTGGGCTCGCACTGCAGGCGTAACTCCAAGCCATGTTAGGATTTCTGCTTTCAATCTGTCATAGTTTTGTGCTTGGCTGAGAGGCAAATCATCATATGCTTTTTGGGATTCTCCACTGAGGCAAGGGGCTAATAATCCTGCCCACTGATCTGGAGGCCATCCTTCTCGGGTAGCAATCCTTTCAAAGGTTGTCAGGTAAGCCTCCATGTCATCAACCTCACTCACTTTATGTAAAAAAGTCAGTAACTCTAATCCGGCGCCCCCTTTCTATAGTAGGGGTAGTCACACTTGACAGTATGGTTTGTTGCAAAGCACTTGTTAGTTTTAGTCTGTCTTCCCGCTGTGTTTCCATAACTCAGTCTATTTGTTTGGCCAATAAGCGGTTTGTCTCCTGTTGGGCCACCACAGCCTGTCGCTGTGGCTCCATGAGGCTACTGATCTGAGCCGCTGTTACACGGTTTGTGTCTTGCTAGGTAGTAGTAGCCTGTACCAAGGCTTTTACTTACTCTTCCATCTTGCTTTCTCTTTTTTTTTCACAGCCACTTGGTAAATACCACACACCACACCTGCAGGCCTCTGTTTGCAGAGTCACAGTGTTGTAGAATTATTAGGCCTCTATAAATCTGTAAGGCCCCTTTAAATCCTCTTGCTATACCTCTAAGAGGCCCCCATAGTTTTACAAGAAAGCTTTGTCTATAGAACATAGAATTTGCATGTCAGCAAGAAATAGCTTTGATAAAATGTGTATTTACTAAAAGCCTTGAAACCTAGCCTTGAGAAACTAACAAGTGCCAGTTACGCTCTAAATGGATAGCTGCCAAAAGGCCCCTCCCGTCGAGTGAGCTCCTCATGTTAGCAAAATGGCGCTAAAACCTGGGGGAGAAAAGCATGACGTAGATAGTGACTTAAGATGGTACACCCCATAGGGAGGGCATTTTACTAACATCTTAGCACCTAAGCCAATTAACAATGTCTATTTGTCTATATCTTGATTTTCTTCAATGATGTAATAATGCCTTTAAAAGGGTCTGCGCACCCATTTTCTGTCAGAAGCCATTAAACTTCTCTGAAGTTCTTTCATTACCCTGAACTTTGTGTCTCAGTGTGAATTTACTTCTGCGTGCACGCAACTTTATTATCTTTAATTTGGACAGGAACAGATAGTCATTCAAACTAATTGGTTTGCAGTAAATTATCTACTACAACAGTACCTTAGGCCTCTATACCCACAGACTGTATAAATGTGCTTTAGATGCCCGCATTCTCCACCATCTTGTGACCTTTAAGGGCAAAGCAACACAGTGCTCTAGGGTAACAGGTACAGAACAACAGTCTCTTATGCAAAAATGGTGTGGTTTATTTACATCATGCACAAAAATCCATGCAGCAATGTTTGTTCAAAACTTCAGCAAAACAGAAAGGAAAGTCTACAAACAAAATCCTAGCTCAAATTCAAGCACTAACTAAACATAAAGTAATGTTCCTTTCTAAACCAGGGTAATACACTACACAATTGAACAAAATAAACATTGGTTTCACCAACCTTTAGCACTTTGTTTGGTGCTGCTCAGCACAGATCTGCTCTCTCTGCAGGTCAGATTGTATCTCCCCCTTTCTGCTCTGAGACCTGCTAATTAAAGCCTCAGCAGTTGCTAATTGGGAAGGTGAATGAGTACAGGCTATGGAGGAGTCTGGGTCCTAAATACCTTCCTTCTATTACCCTCCCATAGACTCTGTCACATAACAAATAAAAATAAATAGTCCCAATAAAATATCAAAGGTTTGATTGACTTAGTCACTGTATTCGCTGGTAGAATGTCTTCTATGTTTCTAGTAGTTCAAATCGTCTCGTGATATGGAAGACACAAGAAGAGAGGACCAATCGTGTAGAGTATATAAGGTGAATAATAAATAAATAAAATATAAGTATTACACTCACATTTAAATGAGCTATGGCCAGCTCAGGTGTAACAGGCATACGGCGGAATAATCCCCGCTTATAGGATATGTAGATGCTTGTCCTCCAGAAGTTAATGATGTCCAACTCACAGGAGAAGAGGAGAATAAAAACAGCAAATAGTGCTCTCTGATGATATGATGTAATAGTTGATAAAATAAAATAAAATATACTCACAAATGGAGTGCAGGCGTCACTGCACTCTAGTAGTAGCGTTGGTATAATCCCCACCTCAGGATAGGTTTTGGAAAATGAATAAAATGCCAAGAAAAATAAAATAAAGTAGTGTGTAAAAAGATAATGGTGCAGAAATCTAGCCAGAAATCATTTATTATATAAAATACACAATATTTTAAACCATTAACGCGTTTCACCACTAGGGTTTTATCAAAATGGAATCCTTTCTTCTTCTTTATACACCGTAGCAGTGTAGGTGGAAGCGGCGGTGGAGTTGGAGGAGGTAGCCAACACTGTTTTTTATTTTTTATATATATATTTTTTTTTAATTGGGATAGCCCCCAAAATATTGGGACATTTAAAAAAGAAAACAAAGAATAAGTGCACTTGAGTATAACGGGTGAGGCTGGTATAAATGTCCA